CTAAATAACATGCAACTCCAGGAATTTCACAAATTATTAAATAAATACCAGGATTGTTTTGTAGGGAATGATGGCAACCTTGGTCGTTATACGGGTCCCATTACACATAGGATAAATTTTGTACCCCATCCACTTCAAATAGCCCATACAGGCCTATACTTTGCCGCTGGAAAACGGAAAAGAATTAACGCAAATTAAGGAAATGTGATAAAGAACGCGCATCATAGAACAAGCTCTAGCAATTTGCTTCTCTATAGTATTGGTTAAAAAGGGTCCCAAGAAAGACCAATGGCGATTCACAGTAGATTATCGTCAAATAAATGCGATAACTGAAACCGAAACTTATTGTATTCCCCACATGCAAGACATTTTGGACCTTGCAGGCGGGAAAGAAGTTTATTCAGTTCTTGATTTCAAGAGTGGATTTTTCCAAATTCCTTTACTGGAGAAACATAAGGAACGCACAGCGTTCTCCTCCTTTTTGGGACTCTACCAATTCACGGTGATGGCCCAAGGGCTAAAAGGTGCCCCAGCTACATTTCAGAGGGTAGCGAACAGCCTAATCCGTGAATTGAAATCATGTTGTTTCGCTTATGTTGATGATATAATCATTGCAAGCCAATCGGTCAATCGACACCTGTACATGTCGACTAGAGCGAAAATTTTCCTAGCTGTAAGAAGATTTGGTTGAAACTGTCGCGGAAAATTTCGTTTTCAGACAGAAATGAAATACTGAGGAGTTTCTATGTAGCAAAAACGGGTACTCGCCTACCCCAAGATAAAGTCGACGAGTATGCGCCTAACGATCACGTCCTAAACTGACGTGAAAAGCGTTAAAGTCATCTTTTAGGGCCGCATCAGATTTTAGCGTTATTTGCCGCGTTTCTCAATAATAGCTACACCGCTTAACAATCTCCTAAGCAAAAACACACCGTTTGTGTGGAGTGAGGCTCAAGAACAGGCGTTTCTTTCTCTCAAGAAAGCCCTAGTTGAAGCACCCTTATTAGCTTCTCCTACATTTGGAGAACCCGTATATTATACATACGGATGCATCAACTACAGGCTTAGGCGCATGTCTGCTTCAATACAGCAAAAAGACGCAGGGAGAACATCCTATAGCGTACTGCAGTCGCGCATTAAATAAACATGAGAAGAATTACGCAGTTATTGAGTTAGAAGCTTTGGCGATAGTTTTTGCGCTGAATCAATTCTATCCCTACGTAGCTAACGCAAAAATAACGCTCATTACTGACCACGCGCCTTTGAAATCGCTAATGCATGGGCAGATTTGGTGTGACTAAGCGAATTACCCGATTCGCTATTACAGCCTATGATATTAAAATCGAATATCGGGCAGGTAAGCACAACACATTCTGCGATTTTCTCAGTCGCTATCCTCTGCCCACCATCAATGCGATAGAAGCGCAATCGTTCCCATCTCTTGAAGAGATTCAAGCAACGCAAAATTCGAAGTACATCCATCATAAAGTTTCCTTACTAAAGGAAATAGAGGATGTGTTACTACTGAAGAATTTCAAAGCAAACTAAAAAACTTCTCAATGCATAATAATTCTCTGTACTATAAAATACACGGCAGGGAATTATTGCTTATTCCAGATGAAAGTACTGGCAAACAGATAATGGCTATATGTTTCATGGGATCCTCTACTCTTGGGATCACATCTAGGAATAGCAAAAACATATAAAAGCATAAAAGAGAAGTACTTTTGGCCGAACTTGTATCAAGACGTTACAACGTATATAAATACATGTCGACATCCAAAAGGTGGAAAAACCACTTCAAAAGCGTATAGATCAGGAGAGGAATGGGAAACTTCCCTACCGCAACAGATTTTGAACGTGTTTCACACAGATATAATTGGTCCGCTACCTCAATGTGAGGACGGTAGTAAATTTATTTCTATAACCGTTTGTGCGTTCAGTAAATTTGTAGTGTGTACCTCGACAGAAGATCAGACTACTGATACAGTAGTAAAAGCACTGATCAATGATGTTATTTCGAAGCACGGAATCCCTAACGAAATAGTTTCGGATCGTGGTTCGAATTACACTAGCGAGGTGTATGCTAAAATCAACAAAGCACTCGGTATAGAATAATTGCCGAAGACTGTTTAAGATAAAGGCTAATGGACAAGCAGAAGGACTTGTTTAAGACGTGATTGTCCTCTTAACAGCATACTGTGCGGAGGCCAGACACCGATGGTCAGATTTTGTCCAGCCTATCGTCTTCGCATATAACTGCAGTATCAATGCGACGACAGGTTATAGCCCGTACTTCGTTGTTCATGGTAGACATCCAATAACATGGAGTGACATACTCCATTGAGACTGCTTCAGCGCTACACAGTCATGCTATCGGATGACTTGGCTGATCAGTTCGCCGTCGGTTTTGAACAACACATCAATAAGAAGGTGGAAACCATAGCAAGAAGTGTCCTTCTAACAAAAAGGCTACGATTTACTCTACAAGGTGTGCCCAACGAGGGTTTCATTGGGAATTTAGTGCGTGCCGGAACAGTTCGTCCGAACTAACGAACCAATGGTAAAGGTTCCGTTATAAGGTTTGAATTGGGTAGAATCGAGCCAATTGAGATAAGCAGGCTTTAGGTCGCTTCTATGCGACAGAGTTTAGGTAGCTGTCACGCGTAAAGTTTATCTCCCGTTTTGTTTTCGATGATGTTGTCCCACCAAAATGCGCAAGCACAATCAAATCAGTGATAAAGGAAAGATCATCTGCTGAACAACAACCTCTAATCCGGCGCTCTCGCCGACTTCAGGAAAGGCAAACACACTTGCCATATCAGCCGGAGTAACAACAGCATAGGTTGTCTGTTTTACTACAAAACAACAATCTTTGGCAAGTTTAATTTCAACATATTTTGGCCGCTCGTCGCGAAATTTTTCCATTCTCTGGGTTGGCGGCTCAAAGAATGATAAGGCAGCTCCTTTCGCTAAATTAAAAACATTAGCTTAAAAACTAACGCCTTTACTAGTCGAAACTGTAAACATCTGTTTAGGGCAAGACTAGTATTCGTATCGTCTTTGAGAAAATATGCCATGTGATTTATGTTTTTATCTTGCTGGATACAAGATAAATCGTATGTAATACATATTGAGCATTTTTCCAAAAACAAGACGGAAAAAAATTTATGAGAAAAAGGCTATACATATGTTTCCTAGGTGAAATTATCCGGTTGTCTAACAGTAGACTCTCGTTTCCTCGATGTCTTTTGTTTTTTTGTATGCTCGACATTACTCTCTCATAAAAAAAAAGTATAAGAATAACTGTGTAGGGTAGGATATTCAAATTTATGTATGTAAATTTCTTCTACACTTCTCAATTCGATATACCCTTTACAACAGGGAACCGTTTGCTCGGTCTAATCCAATCCCTTGTTGTAAACCCAATAGCTCGAGGACGAGCTACTTATTGAAGGAGGAAGTGAACCGCTCTTTCGATACGATCCGGTTGGTTCAAGAATGAACAGGATCTGTGTTAATTTTCCTGCGTCTTGATATCATCTCCTATGTCTGAAAGAATTGTATGTTTCCCAGTGTTGTTGAACGACAGCGCTGTTGTGAGCGAAGACGTGGTTATCTTTCCGGTAACTCTCTGACCTCACCTGCATTCATCCATTAATCTATCATTTGGATCGTTCAACAGTTCAACATTGTATTTTACTCAATACATCTGAGGACTTTGGAATGTTAATGTAGACGAGTTGTGCTGGAGCTCGAGGACGAGCTCACTCTGAAGGAATGGAGATGTCGGGTCCACGACCTGGCTGGGCGTGGCCCGAGATTACGGTATCGCAGGAAGCTGGCGCAAGGCGACTGGAAGACGAGACGACCGCCAGTGGTAGTGAGTACTCACGATGTGACGGTCCACCCCCGACCGTCTTCCACTCCCTTCCTTTCCCCTTTGATGTTATTATGATAAATATGTATAGCCTAAAACTCTTTTGTATTCAAAAACCGCTACACACCTTCAGATACAGGAGTCATGAACCTGTAATCTGATAGATTGAATTTGATTGGTCGCGTGGTGCTGCTACTAATTATGTTCATTCAGCTTCGATCGTACCAGTATTTTACTTTCACGTGTTCGGTTCAACTGCTGACGCTAACAGTATTTTCTTCCTGTGTCTGGCTGATACAGCAGCGTCGTGAAAACTACATACGTGAGTTTTTATTATGCTTATTTAGACTCAATATTTCTTTGAAGCAAAACGGTTTGATTCACTATAGGATATACCGCAAGGAAGCTTGGAGGTTGTTCAGGGATCATATTATATGGTTTGGAACTTATTCTCATAGAAAAATCAATATATCTCATAAAGCAGTTGGCAACCTGCAAGCCCTTCCGAATTTTTTTTCTCTAAGCATGTCTTCATGCAGCACTTTGGAACCTGTGAAGCGTCTGGAGTGCAAAGTGGGCTTGTCCAAACTTTTCCTCGTGATTATGCGTTCTTTATCGTTCCCTTTTCGTTCGCACCAAATCATACTTTAGGCGGCTCTTATGAGTAACCAGTTCCACTTCATTGACTTTTCATCTTCTTCTCAGTGTATTCTCTCCCACCACACCTCATTTTCGATTTGTTATCGGGTCTAGCAGAGGTAGTCACTCAATTCTGAAGAGCGAACCCACTGCTATGATTTCGAGAGCAATATCGATGTTGACTTCTCTACCCATCAAGGCTCACCCCTACTTTGAATGTCTACAGTAGGCGCCGTCATTTCTAGACCAGCAAGCTGTCTAACAGGAGATGTAAAATTTTGCGATGGTAGCAGGCTGATTCTAGCTGCGCTTGTGTATGAAACCATGTCTCAAGCTGCGTGCTGCTTCAATTCTTTACATAGAGTCAGACCTTTTATATCTCTGTATCTCTAGTTCCCTTTATCCTATCTCAATTTGTCCTTCAATTGCTACCGATCATAATCGAATTGAAAATCTGTAAAAATTACTTTGTCAGAAAGCTATGCACTCAAGCACTTTATGGACGTGTTCACATTGCGGGAAGGTGTTGATGCGGAAGAATATTTATTCCCATCTTCGCGTAGTGCACTACTACACCACCGAACAAATTGATGAAATAAAGGCTAGCGTAAGACGCGAAGCACCTGTTAAAAAGGAATTCGTATCTTGCCCACTTTGTGAGGAGCGCTTTGACAATCACGAGCGTTTTGCGATGCACTGTCAGGAGGAACATGCTGAAGACGGAAGCAGGTGTGAAGATCGCAAGGACCTACACAGTTTTTTTTACGCTCTTTTTCGAAACAAAGCGAGAGTATGACGTGAGTCTGCAAGATTAAGATGCCATTTTTCTATTTTTTCTAATCTAATGCTCTATCCTTTGCAAATAGTACATCCTAGGCGTGGCTAGAAGAGCAACAAGAACATGGTGGAACAAGTTTTTATACGCGAGACAGCTCAAAGTCTAAAGGCACCGCAAGTTTAAGGTGCGATAATTTGTCTTCCTACTTATGAGCATATGAGCCTGCAGTGTAATTACTTGTTTATAGATGCAATAGAGCGGGAAAGTACACTAAGGAGACCGACACTAGAGCCACACACACAAAAGAGGACGATTCTCCACTTCTGCCGTTTCCTTAACGTTAAGTAGAGGAGAACGGTGCGTAAGCGTCAAGGCTGGTGCTTAGGGCCATGTTCGGCCTATAACAATCACGTCTGGCCTCCTACGCCTACTGGCGGATCCAGCAACTTTTTCCTGAAAGGCGACTTACTAAAAGGTGTATGTACGCTGATGTAGCTAGATATTCGCCTTAATATTCATTTTCAGAGTACTCTCACGAGTACATCATAAGGCGGCTCAGGAAGGACTACCCCGCCAAAACTTCGAGATTGCATTTTGTTACCAAAGGGGACCTTTGGAGAATTGCAAATCGTTTCGGTCTAAGACCTGGATATCGTCACAAGGATGATATGCTGTCCTTGGAGCAACGGGCGAAAGAGAAGAATCCAGACGATGGCATTCGTCTCTTCGAGATGCCTGTAAACCCTACAGGAGAAGGATTCCGACTGAGTGAGGATCACCTAGGTTGTCATGAATTTGCACACTTAAAAAATTATTTTCAGTCATCATTACACCCCAACAAGTGGAATGGCTGCAGAAATTCTCTCATAGAGGAATTTCGGTTGATGACACCCACAACGCCACGCGTTACAACCTCAAGTTGGCGACAGTGATGGTGCTGAATGAAAGAGATGCCGGCGTTCCAGCAGGTATCTGATATTAAAGACTTCAATGAAATAATCTAAAGTGAACACGCACTATTTGAGCATTCCTACTGAGCGGAACGATGACCTCAGTAGATGTGGAAAAACTTTTCCTCGAGATCCGGAACTTAGTCCCCGATTTCAACCCCCTTCAAATTGTGACCGACGAAGCACCGTCTTTCTACAACGGCTTTCGTTCGGTTTTCCCGAATTCGCGTGCCCAGTTGCATTACTGCAGATGGCACATCGACAGAACGTGGCAAAGAAACGCGAACAAATTTGTTGAAGTTAGTCGCATACAATTCTAATATCTTTTCAGCACCAATCATCTTATTTCAGCCTCGGCTACGCGGCCAAGTGAAGAGGAGATTAAAAGATCTTCTAGTAATACAGGACTTACACACTTTTGAACAACGTTTCGCGGAGGTCCTCGCTTTCCTTCAAGTGGAGGGTCAAGATAGGATGGAGGATTACCTCAGGCGGAATTATTTAGGCAAGTTCTACTTGAATTTAACATGAATTTGACCAATTCTTCAGAGGCTTATTTCAAGGCAGAACGCCAACATGGGCCTCGTTTTCTATTCCAAATGCGATAATGGACACAACGATGGTAAGCGAAAGGTGGCATTTGCGACTGAAAACCGAGTTTCTTCACAGAAACGCCAACACACGAGCGGACTGTCTAGTGGATCTTCTGATCACTGCCGTTGAGGACCTGTCGCGATCGGACGAGATCAAGGTATTACATCACATTTACTTTATCTTAATAAATAACGCAACCCTATTAAGGCACGCCGCCGACTCGTCGTTGCCTCCTATCGCGTCCAGCAGACCGCAATATGCCATCGCCAGGCCAAAAAAGAGTGCGATCTTAATCGCCTCAGAATCAGGCCGCTGGGCTCTGAAAAATGGGAGGTGTACTCTGTGAAAACCACTGAACTCTTACAAGTAGAGCGAAGTAATGATTGCGAATGCAGTGAGCAGAACGTTCATTGCACTCTATGTAGCATTTGCCCTTACGCTTGGTCCTGCTCATGTACGGACAACAGAGCTGGAATAAGTTGCCTACATCGACACGCAGTAATGCTGCACAGTAACCCACCAAACAGGCGGACAATAGAGACAAGCGCACAACCAACACCAGAAGAAGCAGAAATCTCTGAACCTGTTGAAGCAGCTGCACCACCACTTGAAACGGAAGTAAGTGCGGCACAACAACGAAGAGAGGAACGGAGCCAATTGAGGAATTTCATACATATGGTGAGTACGCCGTTTAACAACCTACGCCTATTTCACATATTATATGCCACAAGCAACCTAACATGTAACAGTATAAGACTTTTCCAGAAAATCTCCGTCATCGAGACTAACGTAAATGCGTTAGTCAATACGGACACCGTAGAGGCCAGAGAACAACTCGAACAAATCCACGACATGATCGACAAAGCTTCGCAAATTGGAGCAACATCACTGACAGGAATAGCGGTCCGGCCAGAATTAGCAAAACCGGGAGGGAAACCAAAGCAACCCAAAGTAGAGCTTTACACTGTGAGAAATTTCAATATTTGACCCAATCATTGTTATTCCATTGAAATTAGAAATACTCAAATCCAATGAAATATTACAGCGAAAACAAAGCCGCGCTGCCAGAGGTGGTCCATCACGCGAAAGATCCGATGACGCTCAAGATTAGTGGTGCATCGTTCGCACCAATTACCTTAGCAAAGCTACCGTCAAATATCAGAAATGATAACTGTACACAATGTAAATAATTGTCTACCGCACACATTCCAAATGAACATTTTTTGTAAGTTTTGTAAAAGTTATGTGTACACTTTGTGACAAAGCTGGAAGGGGCTGGAAGCTTACGGCACGAATTGAAACGGACACAAATCATAAGGTGTTTGGCCACATTTCACTTCACACCGAAAACTATACACTTGGGCATGCAACACGGAATAACGGAAACACAGGTAATTTATCAACAAACCGTTTAAAAGAGGAATCCGTGGCAGGTTAGAATAACAGGATGATGGAATCCACAGAAGAAGTACAAAAAAGTCGAGAAACTGACGAACAGGCGTGAAGTTGTCTTATATAGGCAATTCTGGCGCGAATAACCCCACAGCTATTGATCGGGATGGGGGCGGGGCGAAGAGCGATGGCAAAGTGCCAGCGGGTCCCGCCGCGCGCATGTTGGCAATTTGCCACGGACGGAACTGTACGGAAGAATGGCGCCTGAAGGACAGTTGCACGTATGAATTTTTTTCGAAGGAAAACTTTGAGTGAAGCTAAGAGACCATAAAAAAGACGGAAAGCATTCAGTTAACGCTCGTGTTGAATGCCGCTTGCTTCTTTCCGTAGCGTAGTTTCTTCGTCTTGATCGAGGTTACTCGGAGAACGATTGGCAGTTCTACAATGGGGTGAACTCATTGTAAGCAATGGGGCCACAATACCTTACTCGTGACAAAAAAAAACAAGCATACTTTTT